ACCTCCACCTAGGAGCCACCAGCAGTTTGACCCGATGTCTGTGCCAGTGCTCAAGTGAGTGCTGGGAGCTTTTGAAAATTCTGCCTCAGATATGTAAGTGGAAATACCCCCAGCAGGTAAACACATGAAATGACTTAATCTTTAGACTTTAGACCCAATTTTGATGCCAGCATCACAGCTCACTTGATGTAGTTGTATTGCTCCTGATCTGCACTGGTACCAGGATTCAAACTGGATGATGCAAAAACACAGGAAAATGTAATAAAATAGAGGACTATCCAAATAAGGGAATAAGAAATAAACATTTTCACTTCAAAAGGACCCAAAGAGGCTACATGAAAAAACAATAATCTGTCTTTGATACTGCATTTTACAGGTTTTTTTCCATCCCTTTTTTAGGACAAAAGGGCACTCATCTCTGGCAGCATCTCCTTGGAAACGCTTGTTGTGGAAAGCCATTCCCTCCTCAACAGACAGCGCACAGGTACACTGCCAAGATCATCCTGTGGTCCTCTGCCTCATTTTTCTGTCTATTCCCACTTTTAGCCATTCTGCATGGCCAGATAGAAACATCTTCACCCTGTGATGGTGTCGAGCTGAACCTCTGTGACTAGGAGGGGCCCAAGCGAGTCTATTAGCCTGGTGGGTCTGATACATTTGAAATTTGCTTTCCAGTAAAAACCAATCAGTCTCTGCTCTGGGCCAGCAGCAGAAGATCTAGTGCCCTCTCTATAACCAGTTTCCTGGGTCTGGGTCCCCCATTGCCCTGGTGTATAAGCAGCCCCCCTCTTCCAGCCATGAGTAACCTTCCCATCAAGGGCCTCCTTCTCAGCAGCCAGGAGGTGTTCACAATGAGGCTTTGGGAAAACGTAGTTTGGGAAATTCGCACCCCGTGCCTCAGTTTCCCCAACTGGCCCTTCTCTGGCCTCATCAATTTAGTCTCTATAGTAGAGACAGCATCCTGGTGGCTGACAAAACAGGCTCTGATCTCAATGAACACTGAAAGAGGCTGAAGTATGGTAAAGCTGCAGTACGAGATCGCTGGCGTCAGGGAGCACAGACACGGAGCAGTCACGTAAACCTGCGTTTCCTCTCTTGCCTTCCCAGTGGCAACTTTTCATCTCAGCACAACCATTCCCACCACGCTAGCGATGGGGCTGCAGCAGCGAGCAAGCCCTCGCCCCAGGGACAGTTTGCATTCCAAAATTCCAGGTTGCTAAATATCTTAAAGTCCCAGTTCAGCTCTCAGCCTTGTTTCCTGTCGCTCCTGCGGCAGCTGAGCTTCATTCAGCGTTCGTGCAGCTTGGAGGGTAGCGAGATTCAGACGTTAGTTCTGCCTGTCTGCAAGCGTCCCTGGGGATCACCATGTCCTCTTAGAACTAGGCTGAATATTAGAAACACTTCTTTGCTAAAATTCATGAGAGGCTTCCAAGGTTGGATCCTCTTGCACATGTCTACACCATGTGTTTGATTTTAAGCTACACTGCAAGTCAGTAGCTGGGTGTTTCCTACACTCTAGGTCAGCATAAAAGGGTTAGTTTAAGTCTCGAGCCCTTGATCTTTGTACTTGGACAACGTCCATGTGATGCAACACATGCTGTCGGTCCTGGGGTTGCTGTAATTTATATTTTGCTAACGTGCCTCCAGTGCTAAGCACATGGTATGCAGACCCACAGAGGTGGGCTTTTCCAAAGAGCCTGACCCGCAGCTGCAGGATGAATTTAAAGATCAGATACTCGGCGCTTACCTCCCAGCCCGCGAGCTCAGGCTTTCCACCCTGGTTTGCTCCGAAGTTCCCAGGAAGAGTTGTACTGGGAAGTGCTGCTCTTAAAGGTCCAGGCTGCCTTTACTGCCTGGCAGGGACAGCGCTATCCTCCGGCAGAGCCTGGAAAGAGGGGAGAGAGTTTCTTCTTTTATAATAATTTATATTCTGATGGTTTTACTGTTTTATTTGTATTCATATATGCACAGAAAGAAAACCCTGTCATGCAATTCCTTGTATTAGGTGCTGTACAATGAGCTTGAAAACGATCCAGTCCCCAAATTGCTTATAATACTGAGTAGATTTTAACTTCCCACGTTACAGATTGAGAACTGAAGCCCCTCCAGGAATGCAGAGGAGAAACACAGCATGGACATTGCAAGTAACTTTTCTAGGTGGTTATAACCCCGTCTTCTCTCTCCCCAGATGCTTCAGTCCCTGGGGCACCTGGGTGGTGGCACCCATGCTGAAGCAGCAAAGCAATAGTGCAAATTTTGGTACAGATTTGACATTGCTGACACTCATGTGGCCTGGATCCCTGTAGGAAGCAACTTAAGATAGCGAGCTACTGATCCAAGCCAAGAAGTCACTGATTTATTGGCAGGGGATGGCAACAGTTGAATTAATCACACCTCACCGAGCTATTCTTCGTGGCTGATACCAGACCCCCAAAGCAGCAAGGTCAGACTTGCCAAGTCATTTAGCTGTCTGAATCCTCTGGGGTTCAAAGAGAAGCCCAGTCCTTCGGCAGCAGGATGCTGCTCCTGGAGAGCGCTGCGCTCCCAGATCCTGCTGAGCCTTTAAGGATTTGCTTCCCAAGTTACTGATAAGGAAAAAGCACACCCGTGCCATCTGAGATGAAGAGCCTCTTTTTTTTTTTTTTTCTTTTTTTTTTTCCCCTTCCAACAGAGAGCTTCATTCAATTGCTCAGCAATCAAATCTGTGTGCTGAGCAGGACGGGCAGAAGCGCTGAGCTGTGCTATGAAGTGGACAGCAGCCAGAGCAGCGGACGGGGCACATACTTGAGGAGATGAGTCAGCTGAAAGGAAAGTGGCTTTTCCTATTACTGTTTGTCCTTCACATGCTGAATCTCTGGGTCAATGGACATAACACCCTACTCCTTCCCCTGAGCCTATGAAATGGCCCAAAGCACGAGAAACACCCAGGCACAGGGAGAGGAATGGGCACAGCCTTTTCTAGGTGTTTCCCATGTCTGTTCCCACAAACAATGGAGCTTGTTGGTCTATTCAACCAAGTCACAAGTGATAGAACAAGCGGAAATGGCCTCAAGTTGCACCAAGGGCAGCTGAGATTGGATCTGCGGAAGAATTTATTTCCTGAAAGGGATCTCAGGAATTGGAAGAGGTTGCCCAGGGCAGTGGTGGAGTCTCCATCCCTGGAGGGATTGAAGAGTCATGTAGACATAGTGCTGAGGGACATGGGTTAGTTGGGGACTTGTCAGTGTTGGGTTAATGATTGGACTTGATGATCTTAAAGGTCTTTTTCAGTCTAGGCAATTCTGTGATTCTTGGCTCTGCCAAGGACCTTCTCCTGCCTCACATCTTTGCAAGACCTGGCTGGGCTTTTACCTCCATCCCAGGCTGTGTCAAGGATAAACCCACTGAGTTTAGCTCCTCTAGCTCTTCCACTAACACAGGGAACAAAGAAGGACAAACGATCCAGATCCTGGGACAGTTTATTCTGACCATCTGTGTTGCAAACTGCTGGTCCTCACTCTAATCACCTCCCTTTCTGCAATCCACTACAGGATACATTTCATTTCACTATAGGCTAGAGGAGCCTCATGTGCTCTAAGGGATTATTGCTCACCTGCAGCCAAGCACGTACGGATGTGTTTGACTCTGGGAAGATGGGGATTTGGGGAACTCACTGTGTCTCTATGAACTACATTGTGAATGTGCAGAATAGCTTTTATGAACTATAAATTGATAGTCATAGAAAGCAGCATATGTTGCATAACAAATAAAAAAGGGTCAGTGAGTTGTGTTTTTAAAAGCCTTAGCTGCAAAATATTAGCACACACAAATAATCAAGACAACCACAGTAATTAATGAAATTTTTGGCTGTGGGGTTACATGTTGTAATTTGGGGGGAAAAAAAAAACCCAGCTGAATACTACTTCACAAGTCCTGATTTTTTTATTTAATTGTAATTCACTTATATAATTTACTTAATTATAAGTGCAAAGTTGTAATGCTTCCATGATTAGTACATAAAGGAACATCAGGTATCATCTCAAAGGGCAAAGTGATTACATTTGAGTAATTTCTCATACTAAAAATCTTAGCCTTCAGGTAGCTGATTAAGATTCATTGTTTTTCCTTATATCAATATAATTAGTATCACTGCAAACACATCCTCAGTAGAACAGATATGTCTCAGAAAAATAATTCTGCACATGTGTTTGAGTTCAGCCATGACAATTAATGTGCAGTAACACTTGGAGTCCAAGTCTTGCAAGAGGAGTGTGTGTTCCCAGCCGACCACTGCTGCGAGGGAGCAAACAAAATGGATGGGAGATGCTTTCAGTTCAAAGAAAAACTGTTGTTTGGTTATGTCACTGAGAGAACGGGAGTTGTGTAAAGTCTGAAACAAGACAGAATTGTTCACTGATATTTCTCATTATCAGTTTCAGGCCATAAGGAGCCAGTCTGTATTTGCACAGCACGGCGCAGGCGTGGGACTGCCTGACTGCCGCGGGAGAGGGTGTTGTGAGTGCCAGAGCACAAGGGACAGGCTGATGGCTTACTGTTTGCTTATAGCAACCTTGGCACTGGAGATCTTTGTTTTTCTGGTTATTAAATTCCAGAAATAATATGGTATTCATTTAAGAGGTGGGTATGATTTTCTGCAGGTGGCAGCTCGAAGTAATAAAGAGACATACAACTCCACTGCTCTGCCCTGCTACTCTGGATGTATTTGAAAAAAAGCTTTTAAGAGATGAAAGGAGTAGGGAATGGGCAGAGTCTGCTTCCAGCTAAGCACAAACAGAGAGGGAGTGATTTCATTGAGCTAGGAAGAAATTATTTGTACCCAAACCAAAAAGAGATGCAGGAGCAGTTGTGAAAATCAATTTCTTTTCCAGATTCATGCTAATATGTTCTGCGTTACACTGATGTATATGGAAAGAGAAAGCTTAACCTTTAGATGCTTGTCAGAAATAGGGGGAAGGATTGCATGTAATGCCACTGGATTGAATTATAATTCAGGCAGTGAGTTAAAACAGAGACAACTGGCTTGTATTGATGGGTACAAATTTCTTGTCTAGTGTTATATTGAATTTCTCTTTCAGTGTTTTCTCCATTTCTTCATCTGCAAGGATTCTGATTTCCACCAGATCCATATTATCCTTATAATTGTACTTCATCTCTGTGAGTTTCCACCCCACCAGAGCCCGGACGCCGTCGGCAGTCTGCAGGCTGCAGAGAGACTTTGTCACAAACAGCGAGTCCGGTGCTGTCTGCAGGTTGGTGTTGCTGGCTCTGAACTCTTCAATGTCTCGTGGCTGAAGGGTAAAGAGATAAATCCGCCGGCAAACTTCTTTTTCCACATTAGGGGAAGTGGAAATGCTTTGGTTGGGAACCCACTTCCTTTTCACCTTCTCAAGGTACCAGACCCCATTCTCCTCCAGGAAGCGAAAGATCCCAGGAGTCTGCAGCTGGTCTGTCCCCGGAACCAGCTCCATGGGCTGCCACATTTGGTAGGCCATCCCAAACCCACCATCCACAATGTAGGATTTGTCATCAAGCACCACTTTTAGCAGCAGATGATCGATTTCATCTGAATACGCATCATACTCCGGGAAATAAACTTTTGCTCCTAGAAGGGTGACGTTGTAGCTGAGGGTTTTCAGGACCCAAGATAAAAGGTGGTTGTTTTCCATGCACCAGCCCCCACGTTTCTTCCTCACTATCTTGTTGTATGTTGCTTCCAGATCCAGCTCAATGCTTTCCCCACAGTGCATGCTGAGGTTTTCAAAAGGGACAGCTCGGATGTGGTGCTGAAATATATCCGTCAAGGTAGCCAGGTCTGGCTTATTGTAGGAGCCCCCGTAAGAAATTCTGGCAAAATACTCCTTGATGTCCATGCTGTCTCTAAGAGAAGGGTGGGGAAAAAAAGTATTAATAGGTTGTGTCAGAAGTGACGGAAGGATCTTCCCCATCCCTTATAATGGGGTGATCATCAGTATGGGCAGCCTGCTCAGAAGAGGAGCAGGATTTGACTAATGGCCCTCTCAAGGTTAGCTGAGTGTGAGTATTAGCACCAGGGGAAGCCAATGGGACACTGTTGATGAGCACAAATGTTATTTTTAATTGTTTCTTTTACAGCTGTGATGAGAGGCTCCAGCTGTGCTAAGCACATTTCAGCAGAGAGTTCCTGCCCAGCAAAGCGACAAATCTCCGTAGGAAGGAACAAAAACAGTAGCAGCACTGTTTCCCTGCTAGAAATTATAGGAACTGAGACTCTCCAGATCTGAACTGCTTTATTCGTGGTTTGACTCAGCGAAGCAGAAGCAGAAAACAAACCCTCCCACTCTTGCAGAGCAATCCAGAGCCTCCTCTGCAACCATATCAGAAATAAATCTGCCTCACCGCAGTATTTCCTTCGTTATTTAGGCAGGAAGAACTGGTCTTACCTACTCCTGCTCTCCATGCTGTTGGTAGCAGACATGACCTGGAGCACAGAAGGGGTTTTTTTAGGGCAGAAAAGGCTGTGGGAGATTTTTTGCTGCATCTGCTGTGATCCACTTCTCCACAGCAAGACTTAGCACCCTCGCTCTGCTAATCACAGCCCTACGCCAGCAGCAGGAGGAAACCAAGCTTTGGGCCAAAACTACAACTTTTCAGGGGCCTCACATTTTCTGACTGAATTTTTGGGATGTATTTGCTCCTTCAGCTCCTAGTCTCCCCAGGGCAGGTGGCTGCCCATGGGTGAAGGACCAGGCATCGCCCTCCCATCCCAGCCACAGCAGAAGGGCTCAGCAGGAGGCTGTATTTCACAAGCACAGGGATGGAAAGCAGCTCGAGTTCTCCCAGCCCTTGATGGTGAGGAAACAAGAAAGGGATTTTGATGTAACCAAATAGTTTTGTTATTTCTCCCCAGGCATTGCTAAATTTCGGACATCTCTGAGTACAGAGCAGTGTTGTTCAGATTATTGACCCGAGAGGTCCCAAAATGTTCTCAAGACCAAAAATGGCACAGACCAAATTGCATGGGAATTTTGGAAAGATACTTCCAGTATATAAACAAAGCAAGGAAAATGAAAAATTGTCATTTGGTGGTGTGATATCCTGGCAGAAATAGAAGATATCCCCATTTGGCTTCTCACATTTCCTAACCTTCAGGATAGAAACCTTATAGAAATCTGTAACTATTGCCTCATGGCCACCACCATGTTTCCGACATCCAACAAGCAGGTCTGAATGATCCCACATCAAGTTAAGAGCATCAGGTTATTATTTGGGGGATTCTCTTTGTTCAGCTTTTGGCTCATTCTCAAGCTTTTCTCCAAAGCCCCAGAACTACAAGTTCTTGAAAACTTGGCAGAAACTTAGCTCTCACTGTGTGAACTTTAAACCAGCATCACCAGCAATGAGCTGTTTTTCCCTTTCTTTTCCTTCTCTTTTGCTTTCTTTCAGTCACTGTACTGTACGTACTGTAACTTTTATTTAAGGTAAAACATTGGTGTGGGGTTTTTCTGTCTGTCTGTCCATCTCTTGCGGGTGTTTATAAGGTCTTTTCAACAGTGGTATCTGAAATAAGTCAGATGGCACGAATGCCCAATCTGCTTGAGGCTGATAAGTGAGTAAATAACCCAGCGTATGTATTACGCTGAGCAGCTGAGCATTCTCACCATTTTCTGCTGTGTTTTGTCTTCAAACAGATTTAACTTCCTGGTTAGGGAGTGCTCAGCTACCAAGATTCAAAGTTTAAAAAAAGTCTTACCTGGAAAATCAGTTCAGGCACCAGTGTCTCTTCAGGGTTTTTGAGGGGCTGGTTTTAGGCTAAAGCAAGTGGCGTGGCTGGCTGTCCTATATCTAGTGCAGACAGGGCTTGGGGACTGTTCTCCAGCTCCTCTTCAGGGGAATGTCTTTTCCCTCAACTTGCTTTCACCCGCCTCTGTCAGATTGCAAAAGCTGAAAAAAAAAAAGAAGAGAAAAAAAAACCAACCCAGAAGGGTGGAGCACCAGAGCTGTAGTGAGCAGAAAACCAACAGCACTGACTCAACACACATGCAAAACCTGGTGATTAGAGCAGAGGCTGCCTCATATTTTCACTAATTTCTTGCTTTCTGCAGGGTCTCGCTTGGGTTTTGATGAAAAGGACATTGTTTTGTTTTGGTAGCTGGCTGAATGCACTCAGGAAATAGATATGGTTTTTTTCCCCAGGTATTAGTTACTAGTTGTTTGGAAACATGGGGAAGAAATCTTGCATGCATTCAATGTGAGAAGGTTTTTGCACTGTTTCTGAACAGCAGCAAGATTTCAGCGCAGTAATTTGCACCTGCAACCCCCTTGCCCCAACCAGCACACACAAGACCTTCGGTGCTGCCTTTGTTTAATTTGAGCTCATGATTTACGGGTGGTATTTTTATCACAGTAAATTTCCTAGGATGTAAGAAAGCACTGGGACAGCCGTGTGTCTTCTTCAGTCTTTGCCCACAAGAAGCACCTGAGGATGTCACGGTGGTGATGATGCTATTGGCAAAATGGTGACTATGGAGTGCTAACATATAGAGAGCTCCATCCCTTTGTTGTCTTTCATACTGCTTTTGTATCTACAAATTTTGGTTACATTTTGCCAAGTGTTATTAATTCTCTCAGAGATATATCTGGGTTCCTTCCTGTTAGATCCCCCACAGTAGTTCCAGTCCTTCACATTTTGCATCAACAGCAATTTTCATTCAAACATTGATTTATTGGGATAATTAGCAGAGATAATAAATCAGACCAAACAGAGATGGCTGTGGTAACCCAATACGTAGCTCCACTCCCATATCAAAATTTGGCTTTTTATCATTCCATCAGTGGCTGATGTTTGACCCTGCAGTGAGAACTGATGCCCAAACCAAGAGGTGCTGAAGGGAACGGATTACTTGCCCTCGGTGGGCTCCTCTGGGCAGATCCAATATGGGAGAGAGAAGGAGAAAGTTCATATTCCTGGGTGGATCTTGCTGTACGTGGAATAATCCCTTCTCTTCCCACAGGCTAAGAGCTCCTCATTTTGACAAAAAGAAGCCAAAAGCCGAGCAGGCAGACCCGCAGTCCTGGTGGGAACCATACAGAAAAGAAGCCCGTGGACCCATTGCTGTGTGATGCACGAGCAGACATGGCTGTGCTCCTTGCCCAGAGTCCTTTGGGACCACAGATGGTGCCAAAGTGGACACTTGTTATGCTCACTCAGGCAAATGTGTGAAGTGTTTGGGGATCTGTCCAGCTAACTTTGAGGTCTCGTTAAGACACAAGTATTTTCTAACCAAGTAGGAGCAAAGCCATTTTTCCTGGTACTCTGATACTCAGCTTTTCTCAACTTCTGTCCCTATAATGTAGCTCTGATATTGAGGTTCCTGGGTCTTTCAAATTCTCATCCTAACTCTCTATCCCATGCCATCATTCCTGCACCACTCTCCTTTTCCTCCCCATCCTGCACACTTTGCTCCTCAAGCCATTAAAACCATGAGCTCTCATTCTTCCCAGGAGTGCCCAATGCCATCATACGGCAAAGCTCAGTCGATGAGTGCTAAAGGTAAGAAAAGTTTGATCTTGACCAATTTCTGTTTGCATTTCAGCTCTGTGCCAGATCATTAGGGCTAACTTCAAGGCTCGGCAGGGCAATAAAATGCAATCACAGCTGCTGGGTAATGTGGCCATGACGTGCCCGCACCCATCCCCAAAAGCAGCAAAGGGCAAAGTCCAGCTCGGTCCCACTGGGTTACGGTGACCGCAGGGTGAAGGTGCAAAGGGCAATGTCCTTGGAAAGGTTGTTCCTGTCCATGTGGACACTGTTACGCAGTTTCCCAACCTTGGCAGGGGCTGAAGCTGGTTGAGCTTTATCCAGAAGATCCTCAATGAAATTGCACTTGCTTTTATTTATTTAAAATTTAAACTACCAACAAGATTTAATTTATTACTGAAATCCTTCTCTCATCCTAACTATCCTGAGAGGCTACATCAATTATCCCTCCCTCCCCACTTTAACATATTATATGTTGCAATATTTGCTTGGGGGAAATAAAAGCATAGAGAGTGCCCTGTTTGGGGTAATAGGCAAGCATCTGCTGACTGTTAAACAGCTCTGATCTATAATGACCTTTGTGCTGGGCTGTATAACAAAGCAAGGTATATTATATTATATTATATTATATT